GTTCAGAATGTCTTTGGCTGTCTAACTGCACCAAAAATACACTATTTTAATTTTCTTCCTGGAAAGCTAGTTTTCCCAGTCCTGAAATGCTTGCCTGCAGAAGCAGATTCAATTTCAGCTTTTTGGATAGTTGAAGCAAGCAGTGTCATTTGCATGTTAGCATTAGGAGGTAGGAATGTATTTTGCTAAACTTCTATCCAGGTGGTCTGGTCAAGATGAGTTTCATGTTTCTTTCTGTTAGATAAGCATCATTTTCACTGTAATGGTATCAAAAAGTCCCAGCTAAGGTCAGCAGCATGCTATACTATTCACTTGCAAGAGGCAAGCTAGGCAGTGTGGACTCTGAGCTGACAAGACAAAACAGATGACAAAGAGAAGTCTCATTCGTGGTGAAGAGTGTGTAACACAGCCAGCTCCTACGGGCCAGAAATCCCGACCCCGCACCCTGGAAATCATGAACCTGGCTTCAAAAGCATAAGAACGTTAAACAAAAGAGAGGTCTGTGTTTATAATTTCCTAGGTTTGCTTGGCTATTTGCAGCTTTCAGGAGGCACTCTATCACGTTCTCAGCATTTTTCTGAAGCTTTGCCAAAGAGACACCTTGCACTGAAGTGACTCCTGTGGAACGAAGGACGGCTCTGCAGTTACCTGAAAAGGCACCAGAGTTTCATCTTTGCTTCAGAAAATAAAAATAATAATGACTTCCACATGATGCTGGAGAATTGAAGCTGTGGGAAAGACATCTAATATCATTAACTCCTCCTACCCACTACTGAGAGTGGGTACCACTAAGCATGACAGATGGAAAATTTTGAGGCAGCTCCAATTTGTGAGAAGACTGCCAGGAGGGGTAGAAAGGTGAGGGGATGAGAGAACAGGGACAAGAGAACGGGTAAAATAAACAGAGGTGAGTAGACGTGAGGAGATTAATGGCAGAGAAAAGCCACACTGCCTCCTCCCCTCCCTTGTATCTTGATTTCTACCGGAGCTATGCTGGACAGAGATCTGTGCATATTATTTAAATGTCCCGTGGCAAGCTTTGCTCCTCACAGCCACTGAGTCTCTGCTCAGGAACTAGGTAAAAAGCAGATCTTTATTCCCTGAAGTCAGGATGGAAGTCCTGGAGTGCACTGGAGGAGCACAGCCCATCCCAGCTCTCCTTTGTCATGGTCCTTTTCAGCCATTGCCTGAGAACAAACTGACAGTCCTTTAGAAACTCACTCTGTGTTTTGAGGGGAGGGACAATATGGCAACCCTTGCCTCCTCAACAAAAAAGTTATAGCATAATTTTTTCCATCTAATTTGCTTCAGACCAATAACTAATAAGGCTAGTAAGAACTGAGCAGTATTTTTCCCAAGAGGAACCTAATCTTAAATGCCTTAAATCCATAGTTTGACATTTCTGGAAATGGCTCGATTTTCCAAGGTGTGGAAGAACTGCGGCCACTGCGCTCCTCAGGAACGCAGCACTTTTGAGTATCTGCTTATCTAATCCCCTAAGAAGAGATCATGATGCCCCTAGGAAGCTTATTCTGCAGATTTTTAACTGTAGCAACTTGCTATTTCACACTGTGAAACTTAACAGGTAGCCTAGAGCCGTAAGCCTAAATTTCACAGGTTGCTGTTCCCAGAAAGGCTCTGAGGAAGAGTGAAAGATCCCTGGGTGTGTTCAAGGTGTGGACTTGTCCAGATCTTCATCAGTGCCAGCCTCTAAGCATCTTCCATTTCCTCATCTACTTCCTCAAAATCCAGACCTCTGCTTAAACTTGCTACAGGTAAACCATAACTGACTTGGATTACTGAAGAGGTAGAACAGATTAAGATAGAGATAAAAACTTCAAGTGTTTTTAATTAAAATTAGTTCTAAAGATGAAAAAGGGATTTCAGAAACTAGACAAAACATAGTCATAAGTTCAATATGAATATTAACACATATACACATGTATGTGTGTGTATACATACACATATGTATTTGAGTTAGTAACAGAATAATAAAAACCAGAGGAAAATCATTCCAAGAAGTAGAGAAACTCTACTGCAAATACTCTGCGCTGTAGACCTAAGCGGCCTCCTTTACTGGACTAGGTAGTCATGAAGCTGTTTCTAACTGTGAAGGATACAGTTCTAATCCATAACTTTCAGCCTAAATTATTCTGTTGCTCTGACAACATACTGCTCCTGTTCTCAGACATTTGTATGCCACATTTTTAATATCTTTTGAAGTTTATTTGGAATGGAGACAGCATAAGGTTCAGAGGTTAGTTGGGTCACCTTTTATTCTTCGTGAAAATGGCTTGTCACTGCCTGTGATCTTTGTGTTATTAACGGGACACGAAAGCTGAGAGAGTAAAGTCTGGCAGACGCAGAGGAGAGGTGGGTAGGAGGCACGGAGGAGGTGAATCTGGAATCCCTCCCCATCTTTTTGTGCTGGAGGTAACCAGACAGGGAAGCTGGCTGGAGGACAGGCTGTTATCAACTCTTATGATTTTGAGGGTTGCATAATATTTTTTAAATGTAAAGACAAAGCTTTGTGACTCATGTAGTTGCAGAAGACTGAGTGATCTTTTGAAGGCTGAAAAAGGGCAGCCTCTCCCAGTGTGGTGGAGCATGATCAAATAAATCCCGCTGAGGACAAGTATCTGGATAACTTCTTTGGGGTTTAACCATTCCCTTCCTACTTTGTCTCCCAGGAGCAAAGCATAACCTCTTTTTCCAAGCCACTTGAGGCTTTAAGTCCTATTACTCAATGCCTACAGGAGACCTGAGCAGTTCAGAAGAGAGAGCACCAACCAATTTAAAGCTAAAGTAATTCTAGACAAGTGGGCAGCAGACAAGAGTAAAGACCCGTGAATGCCTCAGCCTATGGGAAAGGGATTTAAAGGATAATTATTCCCTTTCTCCTTAGAACGTCATTCAAAACACTCCATGTTAGTGCAAAGGGATCCCCACGCAAACATGAAACACCACAGATTGCAGGGACCGGTGCCATTTTTGGAGACTCATGGACACCGGTTCTGAAACCCCTCTGCCACAATCACAGGGGGTATTTAAGACAAACTGCTAAAAGTGAACAAGGCTAACTGTGGAGCTACACTCATGCAAATTAGGCAAATATTTAGGACCATCCCTGTGCGTGTTAAGTCCTGCTGCTTCCTCTGCTGCTCTGTATGTGTCAATGAATGACTCTGGCCCCTTTTGTATTTTTCACAAGCCAACTTTAAGTTGCAATTAATAAAGGCATCTGGTTCTTTCAACCATTTCATTTTACTCAGAGGAGGCAGATATGATATACTATCCCTTCCAATCTCTGCTCGGAGAGTTTCGCAGATGAAAGAAAGGGCAGAGAAAACACTGCCTAATCAAATTTCTCCTGTAATCTTAGCTCTCCAGGATCTCTGTTCAAGCAATGTAAAACTGTCATTTTAGCCTACAAGAAGCAGGCATTTTCCTCCACTGAGGAGTGTTCATAGGTACACAGATCCAGGCTATAAAGAACCCATGTTGATTTAATACTATAACATAGTATACGACAGCTATAATGTAATAATGCAGCTGTATTAGGAATCCTCATCCCACGGATCCAGAAACACTCATGCTGCTTTCATTTCACACCCTATGGCCAGTCTGTGGTGAAACTCAGGTGAGTGGAGAGGTTGAGCTGTCCACGGGAACTTCAGCACGGGATTTCAGCACCAGCCAGCTCCCCTCCGACCCCTCCGGCCCGGCTGACCGGCCATCGCGCGGTGCTTACAGCCTGCCCTAGTTTTTGTCCAAACAAGCCACAATAAGCGTGGGGGGGAAGAGGTCCCCCCTCCC